TGGAGACTTCACACAGGGGGGACGCGGGGTGGGAAGAGGGGCAGATTCTGAGAAGAGACGAGATTCAAAGTCGGCGCCCGAGCCTGGGTGACTGGCAGGAAGACGGGGCCAGGCACAAGGCAGAGCACGTCAGGAAGGGATCGGGTTTAAGGGAGACGGCGAGGACTTCATCCTGGAAGTGGCCTGGGGAGAAGCACCATGGAGACGTGGATACGGAGCTGAGGATGGAGGTCAGGGAGAAGATGCAGTGCATCAAGATTCGTGAGAGAGACCCGGCACACGGAATACTGGAAGCAGTGGGTGGTCACCAGGCGCAGAGCGGGACACACAGGCTGGGGCAGGGACAGACAGACAGACAGACAGCATCGAGACGAAGCTCCAGGAGGAAGAGGCTGTGGGGAGGGAGCGGCCAGGGGACCCCGGGGAGCTGTCAGGCTGGGGCGGCATGGCGAACGTCACAGACATTCCAGGCAGCCTTTCTGAAAATCAGAACCCAAACAGCAAAAATGCAACACTCAGAGTTAGAAGGGACCCTGGGGCTCACCCAGTCCAAGCGCTCATTTCAAGCTGAGGACACGCAGGCCCAGAAAGTCACCTTGGTTTCCTAGAGAGGAAAGGCCCCTGAACGAGGAGGCAGAGCTGGGGGAATGGGGAAGGCCAGGACTGAGAGCAGCGCTTTTATTCTGATTACGTTTGTTAAACCTGCTTACTTAACGAGTTTCCAGGTACTCTATGTGTAAATAACCAGAATTTCTGAGATCTGGTAGTCATCTTTCAGGACAATCAGCAGTGCAGTCAGAATGTAGGTATTTAACAGAACAAGCAAGTAAAGCCACAATGAAAGAAATCAGAGCAGAGAGCCCCGGGCTCTGACTCCCGAAAGCCCTGCGCTCCCTCTGGAGCCCTCCCTGTCCTGTGAGGTGGACAGGCTGGACCCCTGCGAGGAGACGCTCCGCCGGGGACCGACAGTGACTCAGAGCTGAGCACATAAGAACAGCGACCGGGGCCCCAGAGGCTCGAGGACAGGGCGGTGGGTCCCCACGGCCCCCCGGCCGCCCGGAGAACGGAGACCGCCGCAGAGCCAAGGTCCAGGGGGCCCCAGGGGTCGCTCGCCGTCCCTCCCGGCTGGCCTGGGCGCGGGCAGTCCCCGCCCTTCAGGCAGCACAGACCCGGGCCTCCAGAGCGGGCAGCAGTTTGCTGTCAGCCGGCAGAAGGAAACATACGGCAATGTTTTCCAGAGGAGAGCGAGTCCACTGAGTTACAACTTCCTCGAGCTATTTTAAGGTCACTTTATGTGGAGGACAGATCACTTCCAGCTGCCTCAGCACCTGTCTCCAGACCTCTCAGCAGCGTAAGGGCAGCATTCTAACAGCCCCGCCTGTCCCGGCACAGGAAATGGGCTCACCCACAGGCTTCCTGGGCGTCCGCCCGCTGCTCACGTGCACTCTGCAGGACCGTCTCGGGCAACACGAAGCTCCCTGGGGAGCTTCGTCTATCATCCTGAGGCTGCTCTGCCTGGGCACCTCTGGGACACCAGTGGCCCCGGAGAGGTTAAAGCTGAGCAGCACTCACCAGCCAGTCAAAGCTGGAGTTTGCAGTGGTCACGTACGGATGTGAGCGCTGGACCACAGAGGGGGCTGAGCGCCGAAGAACTGATGCTTTTGAACTGTGGTGTTGGAGAAGACTCCTGAGAGTCCCTTGGACTGCAAGGAGAGCCAACCAGTCCATCCTAAAGGAGATCAGTCCTGGGTGTTCATTACAAGGACTGATGCTGAGGCTGAAACTCCAATCCTCTGGCCGCCTGATGCAAAGAGCTGACTCATTTGAAAAGACCCTGATGCTGGGAAAGACTGAGGGCAGGGGGAGAAGGGGGCGGCAGAGGATGAGATGGCTGGATGGCATCACCGACTCAACGGACGTGAATCTGAGCAAACTCTGGGAGATACTGAAGGACAGAAGAGCCTGGCGGGCAGCAGTCCATGGCGTCACCAAGAGCTGAACACCGAGCGACTGAACAACAAGAACGAGGCGTCATCCAGGGCGCGCCACATACCCGCCCCGCAGGCAGGGGTGGGCTCCGGCCCTATCTGTGGTCAGCCTGGCAGGGACCAGCAGGGCAGCTCCACAGAGGGACGTGGGTCTGCCCCTGGGACTAACTGGAACTAAACAGGCTCAGGAAACATTCCAGAATACAAAAGCGTTATGTGAGAGGAGCTCCCAGAAACCCTTCGGAACTCAGGCTCCGTGACGACATTGTGCAAAAGAAAAATAAACTTCATGAATCTTGTACACAAATCAGAAAAGGGACAGAAAGGACAATCTGAGCTTATCAGCAATCCCCCAATCAGGCAGCCGGATGGCATCCAGGGGGCAGCGAGGGCGGTGGTCTGAGTGAGGCCGGCCACTTCCAGGGAGGGACGTCCTGGAAGACGGCCCCCTGCCCGGCTCACCAGACCTCAGCCCTGGGTCACACAGCTGAGGACAGTCGAGGTTTTCCAAAAGGGGTGCTGTGAACCCACACCCGGGGGGCGGGGGCAGAGAGGAGGGATGAGCACAGGGCAACTGTCCTAGCCTCGTGACGCTTCTCACCAGGTGAGTTATGTGTCCGTCTCACAGCAAATAAAGCTGCTGCCCTTACGAAGTAACAGGGGACTTCCCTGATGACCTAGTGTTTAAAGTCTGCCGGCCAATCCAGCGGACACGGGTTTGATCCTCAGCCCAGGAAGATTCCCACGAGCCTCAGGGCAACGAAGCCTGCAAGCCGCAGTTACTGACCCTGAGTGCCGCAGCCACTGAGGCCTGTCCACACAAGAGCCTGCGCTCTGCAACAAGTGAAGACGCTGCAGCGAGAAGCCCACAGACCACAACGGGGAACAGTCCCAACTCGCCGCAGCTAGAGGAGGCCCAAGTGCGGCACTGGAGACCCAGATTCCATTAAAGGAAATAAGCAATGTGCCGAAGGTCACGCAGTTAACAGGCGGCAAGAGCTGCTATCTGACCCCCGACAGTTAATTTAATCATATGTGAACAGCTGTCCTTTTAAATAAAAAGTAGGCCCTTAATCTAATTTCCTTTGGGATTTATATCATTCACTGACAAGTATGTATAAAGCAGCTGCTACGAAAGGTACTACTATTGCAGATGCAGGAGACACAGCGATGACGAATTCCTGGCCTTCACGAGTTTAATTCTAGCGGACTAGCACTTCAAAGAAAGCCTCGTTATTTCCAATTCGGGGCCCCAGAGAGGAAGGCAGGGAACAGGCAACCTAATGACCTTTGACATTCATCCACTGACAGGAGAGTGGGACCACACACGCTTCCCTGGGGCTTACCTGTCCTCACTATTCTGACTTATGTGTAACTTACACACACACACCTCTTGAATATATAATAGAAAGCTACCACAGGAAGCAGCGGTACCTGGACACGACACGTGGCCACACCGAGAACATAAGACCCGCAGAGGCTCTGTAAATATCCCGAGGGTCACTGGAGGATGCTAAAGGTACAGGAGGGAGTGGACAGTTCTGGGTGCCTGAGACAATCACGCAGAGACTATCCTAACAACAATTTCCTGAATGCACAAATAATCTACTGAGCGAAAGCACAACATTTGAAGAAATAACATACAGGAAAGACTTGAAGCTCTAACCAGAGACAAAAGCTGTCCACAAAGAGCAAAACAACATGCTCCAACCCTCTGACCTGCCTTCGACTCAACAGAATAAACTGTGATGTGGCCACCGGTGCAGAAGACACGTAAACGTCCGCACACAGCGGGGACGGGCCAGCGTGGGGCAGGGGTCCAGGGAGCAGGTGGGATCTTGGCCAAAGGACTGGACTCTCTAGGGAGTCAGAGAAGGTGCCTCCCTCTCTGAAGCAGTCTGGCTGATGATGGACGCACACTCAGGTCACATAAAAGTGCTGCAACGTCTTCACGCTGCACATCTGAAAACGTCACCGTGTCCTCACTGTGAACCCCATCCACAGGACAGACACAGGCTCGAGAGTGAGCGGGAATTTTCCACGGCCCACTGCTCGGATCCTAACCGTAAGCACGTCATCACTCCACTCCCCGTAGGTCCCTTTTCGCCCAGAGTGAAGAGGTGGCAGGGGCAAGGCCAAAGCCCCGGGCACTGCAAGCCCCCCTACCCTCCCAGGCCAAGCGTCAGCAATGCGGCTTTACAGACGGGGCGAGGTGGCAATAAGTGGTGAACCTGGGTGAAGGGCGTGTGGGGTTTATTGCACTGCTCTTCTGACTTTCCTATATGCTTGGTATTTTCCTAAAAAGAAAGTCTGAACATACCAAAAGAACAAACACACAGCTTCCAAAAGGGTGTGGTGGGCGAGGGGTGAAAACGGTGTCGTTCCCCAAGCTGGGGGCAAACACTGAGTGACGAACCCTGGGTACTTCTCAACTCCAGATCTCGGACTGTCACCTGGCACCATCAGCCCTGCAGATTTACCCCAAAAGGGCAGGCGCCAGGGCCGGGGAGGTGGTATCTGCCTGCTGCACGCCGAGGTCGGGCTCCTGCTGCCCAGGCCGGCTGGGCCTTCTCAGAGGGCCGTCGCCACCCTCCCCAGAGGACGCCAAGGGTTAAACAGGGTTTAGAGGAGCACTGCTTTTTCCTATGCCTTCAGCCAGGAAGAGAAGTACCAACAAGGGAGTGGAAAAATTCACTGCCAAGGGATGAGATGCATTCAAAGGACAACCAACTCCATCGCTGGTCGTGCCGGGAAAGCTGGGAGTGGGGCTCTTTAACAGGAAAGGAAACTTGCTCCTCTGTGCACATGAGTTAGTCCGGAAGGAAGGGAAATCTATCTGAGTTCAGCGCCCGCCTGACTAGGCCCTGTCGACCGCCCCCCCCCCAGTCTCCTGCCACCGTCTGTCGCCGCCAACCCCACCTCTGCAGAGACCGGCGGACCCGTCACCTCCCCTCCACCCCCGCGAGGCCCCTCCCTGGCGGGCACAGCCGGATGTCCGGGGCTGGGGTTTACCGATGTCGCTCAGCAAGGTGAGGATGGCTCCTTCCCGCAGGCCGCAGCAGTTCTCAAACTGGTTCAGGTACTGTCGAGAAGGGGGGAGAGGCGTCAGGAGGAGCAGTCACCAGCCACCAACGTGCTATTCACAAGGGTCCTCCGCAATCCAAGGCCATCTGAGCGCTCCCCGGGTCCTGGGTGTGCAGGTGGCTGGGTGGCAGGACTGGCAGGGTTGGGGCCAGGGCGGGGAAGGAGAAAGGAAGCCTGCGAGCTCCTGGAGGTGCTCATGTGTGTGACCCTGACCTGTTCTCAGAGCCTCACCTGAGCCATGGTCTCAGGGAAGCGGGCGCAGCCAGATCAGCCCCTGCTGATCCACAGCTCCCAAGAGCCCTGGCAACCCAATGAACCCCTCCTTCAGACCCCTTCCCCTTGCCCTGGGTGGGGATGACAGCAGGGATCACGTGGCAAGCACTCACCACGTGCTGGCACCAGGACAGGGCCAGAAGAGCACGGGGAAGCACACGACGCTGGGTCCGGGAATGGCCGAGCGTGGACACAGTATCACCTGGCTGTCCAGCCCCTCAAGCCCCATCCCTGCCCCAAACCGTGCACCTTCTTCCCTAGGGAGGAGTGAGGATGTGGATGGAGGCAACCTCGTTTCAGTACGAAGCCAGCTTGCGCCCAGAGCCTGCACGGTCCTCCTGCTCTTCGCGGATGGAGAGCTGCGTGGATGCGCTCCGTGGAGCCTCGCTGCCCCGTCTCACTGCACCCTGCCCTGCCCACCTCTGAGGCCAGCATCGGTGGCCTTCCCAGTTCATGGGTGAAGATGCCGGACCGAAGGGGTTCGGGCATCTGTCTGCCCCCAAGGCCGCTGCAGGATGGAGCTGCCTCAGGATGCGAGTCCACCTGAGGCTCGTCCACCTCCTGGCCCCAGTAGCCTATCGAGGGGCTCGGTATACTGTGAGAAGCCGGCCTCGACTTCAGAAAGCAACTTCCAGACAAGAAGGGCACCGATGTTAAGTCCATGAGCTACTCCCATACCAGGCACACATGCCTCACTCCTCCGATCAGCTCTGGCTTCTACATTCGCTCACGCACTGGCCGACCCTGTCTCCCCGCCCAGGAGTATGGATTTTGAGCGTTCAGGAGTGGAGAAAAGATAGGCCACTCCACTTGGAACCGAGAGGCTGGACCCCGGGCACTGGGACAGCAGCGCCACCCCCCCACCGATCTCCTCTGGTGACCGCGTGGACGCAGGCCCCATGGGGTGCCACCCCGCCTCCACCGCACCACCCTGCACCCCGGGCCGGGTCAATCACGCCCCAGCCTGTGTCACTCTCTTCCCCGGTGACCCAGCTCCCCTGCTGCCCATAAGATGACGTCAGAGGCCCCCCGCTGCCGTAAGCTGGTCGCCTCCCACATACCGCCCACGCTGCCCGCCAAGGAGTGTCCACTCGGCTTTAGGGACACGGCCTTATCTCCCTAAATAGCTGTAGTTAGTAATCCGGTGGCTGTCAAAGGTTAGGAAAATAAGTGAGGAAAACGGAAGTGCTGTCCAGTCCCCGTTTCTCCTATCAGTCCCTGCCCGTGGGCCGTGCCAGCGACTGTGCTCACATCCTGCCCTGACACCCCCGAGCAGGAGATGGCCGCTCGGGCACATGGGCCTCATAGAAAGTCCCTCTGCAGAGAAACAGCGGCAGGGGACAGGAGATCAGCGGGAAAGCAGGCGCCGCTGGTTCTGGGAACGGCTGAGGGGGCACGGGGCACTGCTGGCTGTCCTGCCCTCCCCGTCCCCATCCCTGCCCGTAACCGTGCACCTTCTTCTGGGGTGAGGAGTAAGAGGTTTGCACGGACAGGCAACCTCTCTGCAATACAAAGCCACCTTCTGCCCAGAGCCTGCATGGTCCTCGGGCTCTGTCTTCACACTACTGTCCTCACAGACAGAGCGGGGCCTGTGGCTGGGACCGGCAGGCGAGACCCGCAGGTGAGACCCGCAGGTGGGACCCGCGCGCTCCCGCTACAGCTGTGCTGGCCCAGCCCCTCTGGGCCACGACGCGCCCCCGCTTCACTGGGGATCCCATCTGTTTCCCCTGCATCACGGGGCTGCTCACGAGGCCATGAGTAAGAGCAGGCCATGGTACCGTTTCAGAGATGGGACACACACGGCCCCATACAGAGATGTGCGGACGTGGCGGGAAGGCAGGTGGGGAGCGGAGCCCAGGAGCTGTGTCAGCGGCGGCTCTGGGTCCCGGGCCCAGCCCGCCAGGGCTGAGTCAGTCCCTTCCTGCCCCGTCCCGTGACCCCGGGCGGCCACGTCTGGGAGAAGCTGTGCTCACAGGGATGGCGACCATAGGGCACCGAAGGGCTGACACAGCCCTGCCTGCTGGGGGAGGAAGGTCGGTCTGGGACTGGTCCGACCCCACCCTGGACTTGGACCGGCGGCGCTCCCTCGTCACTCAAGGGACAGCCGAAGCGTGCACGCCAAGCCCTGCCCTGACCTCCGCGCCCCACCCTGGGCGCCCCCCAACCCCACCCAGGGCCCCACAGCCTCACCTTGCCCCCCAACCCAGGCCCCGCAGCCTCACCTTGCGCAGATCTCCGCCCTGGCAGTACTCCATGGCCAGCAGGGGCAGGTCATTGGGAGCCAGGCTCTGCATGCCTTCAGGGACATCCCGGGCGGCCACCACGTTGGGGTGGTTCAGCCTAGGGGGGAACGGGAACGGGTGAGGGGGGCGGACACCAGGCCTACCCCTGCCCCCCAGGGCCTCGAGGTGCCAGGGTCTGGAGGGTGCAGGGGCGGGGGCACGGCTGGCCCCTCACCCAGGGCCCCGGCGGCAGCGCTCGGTCAGTACCATGAGCCCTGGCCCTGCGAGGGCCCTGGGGAGCGTGCTTCTCCTCAGAGGCCCCCCAGCAGGCCCCCCGCACCTCCCAACTGCACGCCACTGGGTGGGGATGGGGTGTGTGTCTGTGCGTGTAGGGTGTACGTGGTGTGTGCGGGGGGGCGGGTGTCGTACGTGTGTATGTGGTCTGTGTGTGTGTCTGCATCTGTGTCTGTATGTGGAGTGTGTGGTGTGTGTGTCTGTTGTCTGTGTGTAGGTGCGGTATGTCTGTGTGTGCGTGCGTGTGGTGTGTGTATCTGTATGTGGACTGTGTATCTGTATGTGGAGTGTGTGTGGTGAGTTTGTGGCATATGTGTCTGTGTGTGTGGCATGTGTGTGTGCGTGCATCTGCGTGTAGTGTGCGGTGTGTGTGCACGTGGCATGTGTGGTGTGAGTACGTGTGTGCGCACATGCAAACAAGGAGACACCCCTTCCCCGAGGTCGGGAGGGAGCCCTCGCTGGGCTGTGAATCCCCCAGGCCTTCCCAGCTGGGAGGGCAGCCCCCCAGCCCCCCGCCCCGGCCCCCCTGGAGGAACAGACTCCAGCAAAAAGTTCACAGCAGGGAGACTCACCTACCAGCTCACAACTGGAAACACTGGGGAAAAAGGATCTTTGCTGACAAAGGAAAGCTCGGCGTGACGGCTACTTTATATCATATAACAAAGGAAGCCCACCCAGAGCCCTCGGAGGGGCCGGGTGCTGGGCTGTCACTACAGCTGCTCCGGCGGCCGCCTGCCTGGATAGTCTGGCTGGGGCCCTGATGCCTGCATCAGGGTATCAGTGCTGGGACTCACGCCTCTTTCCAGAGAGCTGGGGCTCCAGATCCTGAGGCCCAGCTGGCTTCCTCCAGAGTCACTACAGTGTCCCCCGAGCCACACTGGTCACCCCGAGCGCTGCGGTCCCCCGGCCCCCACGGTCACCCTGAGCCTCTGCGGTCCCCTGAGCCCTGCAGTCCCCCGAGCCCCCTGCGGTCCCGCCCCGAGGATGCTGGCGCCCAGGCCCTCACCTCCTCATGATCTGGATCTCCAGGCACCAGCGCTCGCGGTTCCGGGGACTGAGCTCCTGCCGGCACTGCTTGATGGCGATCTGCTCGCCCGTCTCCTGCAGAGGATGATCAGAGACAGCTAAGAGCCAAACCCACCGCTGTCACCTCTGGGCACAGAACACAGCCTGCGCTCAGCTTCAGGCTCTCGAGGCCGGCAGCGTGCCTGCTTAACGGATGTCCCAGAGTCCCCTCCAGCCCACCTTCGAGCCTGCCCCTGCTCATCTCTATGCACCCCACGTCTGCACCCAGGCTTTACTCCATCCCCACCTCCCCCTCGAGACTTCTTCGGACCATTTCTGCCCAAGAGAATCCTCATTCCTTGACCCCTGGCACTACTGGACTTGACCTCGGACCCATGCAAAAGGCACTTTCCTGCGCTTCAGCCTAACTGTTAACACCCTGGCTTCAGGTTTCATGTTTCTCCCGCTGGGGGCAGGTGGTGGGTGGGGAGGCTGTCTCTCTCTCCAGAGAGAAGGCAAGCCTGGTATAGGAGATGGAACACATGCTGATTCAAATCCCAACACAGCCATGTACCAGCTCTGTGACGCTGGGCAGACCACGGGCTCTGGCTCGGTTTCTCTATCTGTAAAGTGGGAACACTGATACCAACCTTCTAGGGGGTGCCTTGAAGCTGAGCCCCTAGCAGCATCCAGCCCTTAGCAGGCATTGGGCAACACGCCTGGGGGTGGACCCATGCAGGCACCGCTGGCATTTAAAACTCCCTGAAGCTGGGCTCTAACCCACCTTTCCATCCTCCTCCTGCGACTCCACCCCAGGCCTCCAATGCCCGGTCAGGGTCAGACTGCTGGCTCGGCCTGAGCCCTCTGGTCTCTGCTCTGGGGCAAGGCCCGGGTGCCCCCCACGGCAGGGACTCCTGCCCTCCTGTCTCAACAGGGCACTCCTTCACGGCACTTACCCGCCAAAGACTTATTTTCTGCAGGGTCACACAGTTACTTTCCCTTTTCTCTGTTAAACTATAGGCCTGTCCATCCTCAGGAGTTTAACCTCTAATGCAGTAACTGATAGTGTCCTCCGTGGAAGCTTCCTGAACAGGAAGGAGGGAATCGCTACAATTCTTGTGAACGACAGATGGCCTGGGTCCCCAAGATTAACTCTTCCCTCCCCCTGGGTGTCCAGGCAGCCCCGAGAGCCCGTGGCTGCCCCCTCCCGGGCCCCAGGGGCTCCCGGGACGGCCGAGGGACAGCAGTGCCCTCGGCCTCGGCTCTGGGAGCAGCAGCCAGGGGGCCAGCCTGGCTGACCATCAGCGAGCGAGCTGACCTCCGCCCCACCCAGCAGATCCCAGGCCCCTGCGGTGAGAGTCACCTAAGAGCCCATACGCCCTTGGACCAGCCCTGACCTGCAGGGCAGGCAGAGGAGAAATCCAGCAAGAAAAGGATTCAGAATGGTACCAAAATTCCACCGGCGCCCAAATGAAAGATGGGACTCTTAGAGGCCCCATTGGACCATTTTCTCTGCTTATGAAAACGTGCATTACAAGGAATCCTAAGTCTTATAAGTGCAGGAATTCATTCGGTCCAGATTGGGACTCAACGGATGCACATCAAGGTCATGGCAAGGCCCTCAGGAACACGTGCCTCCTCAGGGTGGCAGACGTACATCGAGGTCCCAGGTCCACCAATCCAGCCACGATCCCTGCAGACCAAGGGCCCACCTGGGAGAAAGGACAGTGGGAGCCAGGGCTCCCCTGGTGGTGCTAGTGGTAAAGAACCCGCCTGCCCATGCAGGAGATGTGAGAGACTTGGGTTCGATCCCTCGGTGGGGAAGATCCCCTGGAGGAGGAGATGGCAACCCACTCCGGCGTTCTTGCTGGGAAATCCCATGAACAGAGGAGCCTGGCGGGCTGCTGCCCACAGGGTCGCAGAGAGTTGGACAGGACTGAAGCGACTTAGCACACATGCACGCAGACAAGAGACAGGCTGTTCACGAGGACGCCTGACTTGTTGGTTAGCAGACCCGTCCCTAAAACCGACACTCACGAATGAAAGCTTCGGGAATGAGGTGGAGGCATCTTTTGACCGTGCTGGGTCCAAGGCCAGAAGCAGATACTTCCAGCACCCCCAGGGCACTCTCCCAAGTGGCTTCTATCAAGTAAGTCCCCACGCGGCTGTGATTAAGCCTCAGTCATGCAGTCACCTTATATGCTTACTTCTTTTTTTTTTTCAACAGCTCTACTGAGATATCATTCACACACCATTCAACTCATCCATGGAAAGTACACACGTTGATGGTCTGGGGTAACTCAGAGCAATGTGGCCAAAGCCACAGTCAGTTTTAGAACACGCTCACCAGGACCTCCCTGGTGGTCCAGTGGCTAGGACTCAGGGCTCGTGGTGCAGAGGGCCAGGGTTCAGTCCCTGGTCCGGGCTCTAGACCACACATGCCACAACTAACAGCTTCACATGCTGCAAGTAAAGGTTCCACATGCCACACCAAGACTGAAGATCTCAAGTGCTGCAACTAAGACCCAGTTCACTCAGTTCAGGTCAGTTGCTCAGTCGTGTCCGACTCTTTGCGACCCCATGAACCGCAGCACGCCAGGCCTCCCTGTCCATCACCAACTCCCGGAGCTTGCTCAAACTCATGTCCATCAAGTCAGTGATGCCATCCAACCATCTCATCCTCTGTTGTCCCCTTCTCCTCCCGCCTTCAATCTTTCCCAGCATCAGGGTCTTTTCAAATGAGTCAGTTCCTCGTATCAGGTGGCCAAAGTATTGGAATTTCAGCTTCAGCATCAGTCCTTCCAATGAATATTTAGGACTGATTTCCTTTAGGATGGACTGGTTGGATCTCCTTGCAGTCCAAGGGACTAATTAGTTAATTATTTTAAAAGAGAACATACTCATCATCTCCCAAAGAAATCCCTACCCCCAGGCCTAGACAAGCACCCATCCACACACTGCCTCTACAGATTAAGCTGTCTTTAGCTTCACATAAAGAGGATCGTACAAGACGTGGCTTTCTGTGATGGCCTCTCGCCCGGCAGTAGTTCGAAGGCTCACCTCTGGCGGCCCACACCTGCTCTGAGTCACGCTCCCCGGCATCGCCCATGGCAGCAAGTGCTGACAGCCAGGCTCTGCCACTTTGTCCACTTACTGCGCCGTTAGAACCCCGATCTCTGGCCAGGATTCAGAGGTGCCCTTGAAGAGCTGACCTCTTTCAAAAACTGGCAGTCCTGCTGCTCTTGAACCCACCAGGACAGCTGGACAAGCAACCTTGGATGGACATCCAGCTAGCACTGCTCAAGAGTTAGGGTGTCAAGAGGCCACGATTTCTTTCATTGACAACCAACCAGACTGCGTTATTTCGCACGAGACTTTCCACCCTCTGCAGCATGAACTTCCCGAATCCCCTGTTCTCAAACTGATTCGAATCTGCTTTCAAGTTTCACTTCCCGTTAGGGTTCAGACTCGTTTTTTTTGCCCATTTCTCTGGTAACTCCACCGACAGCCATCCCCATACAAGTCAGGAAGCTTGTTTGCAGGTGGGCGGGGACGCACAGAAACCGGAGCTCCCGCCATGAGAGGGGACGGATGGCCACGCTGCAGAGGGAGGTCAGGCCGCCAGGAGTGTCCGCTGAGCACGAGATGGACGGTTGTTTTAAGCAACTGTTCAGTAGAAGATACTGCAACTCATGGTTTGTTACTGCAGAATGTCTCCTCGAGTTTTTAAAAATCTGCACCTACTTTAACATACACGACCATGCACTCGTTTTCTATCGCTGCTACAAGAAACAGCCACCAGCTCGCTGGCTTAAGACGACACCAACTTAGTTCCCGATGGTTCTGGAGGTGCAAAAGTCTGGTAAGTATCTCACAGGACTGAAATCAAGCTGATGGCGGGCCATGTCCTCTCCAGAGGCCCTAGGGAAGAATGCCCTTCATGTCCGCCATAGAAACTGGGGTCTGCCTGCACCCTGTGGCCCACGGCCCCTTCCTCCAGCTCCAAGCCAGCAGTGACCAGTCAAGACTTTGCGGCTGTGCTGCTGACACTGAGTCTCCAGTCTCCCTCATCACTTCCAGTGACCCTCGTGGTCACACTGGGTCCACCCGGATCGCCCAGGATGAGCTTCCCAACTCAGGTCAGCTGATGAGCAACACTGATTTCCCTCTGCAGCGTAACCTAACACCTTCACAGGCTCACGGGGTTCGGACGCAGACACCTTGGGAGAGATCACTAGTCTCCTGAGCATAAACAGTATGCTTCCTTCATGAGGATGACGGATAGGGCTTCCCTGGTGGACCAGTGGTTAAGGATCTGCCTTGCAGTGTAGGGGACATCAGGTTTGATCCCTGGTCCTGGAAAATTCCACACGCTGTGGAGCCACTAAGCCGTGTACCGCACGACTGAGCCTCTGCTCTAGAGCCCACAACGCACAACTACTGAAGGCCGTGTGCCCAGAGCCTGTGCTCTGCAACGAGAAAAGCTCCTGCATGAAGGGCATTCATGGAGGGCATGAAGGCCATGAAGGGCAGCCCGCACTCGCTGCAACGAGAGAAAAGGCCGAGCAGCAGTGGAGACACAGCACAGCAACGCCAAAGTAAGTGAGAAAATAAATGAATGAACCTTAAAAAAAAAAAGACAGATAAAGTCAAACCCAAAGGGTAGACATTACATGACCTAGAAAATATTTTATAGAATCCATCTGTATATACACTGGGTGATTGCAGATAGCTGTAATTTCCTGCCCAACATAAATACCGGAGCTCACACACAGTCGTCACCTGGCCCATCCCAGAATCCACTGATAGACCCCAATACTGAAGACTGGTATTAAAGACTGAAGAACAGTCAAACTCAACCTAGAGTGAATTTCGTACGTGAACGTGGAACGCACCATGGGGTTAAGTGGGCACAGGCCCCAATGCTGAGTGGGCAGCTCGGCCTGGTCCTGCAGTGCCAGGGGAAACCCTGCCTTCCCAGGCCTGAGGGTCCCACACAGACACAGACACGTCATACCCTGTAACCTTCTAGGAAGTACTCTAGAACATTCCCGTCTTTCCAGGACTGATCTTTCACTTGAAACAGAAACCCAGTC